TGGAAAAATAGGACCAGCAGTTAGCGTAATGGCTATGTTGCTAGACTCCCATGTAGCTGACCACAGTTCGAGTCCCGGACTCGATGGCTTAAGCTCACACTGGGCGCGTGTGCGTGTGTGCCCAGGATCCCAAGAGGAGAATGGAGGAGAAGGGATTGCGGTGTGGCTATCCCGGGTGGGGGGGGGTGATTTCTCACTTTCTCTCTCTCTCTCTCTGTCTTTCTGGTGAGCGCACACACCCTATAGCAAAAACCTCTAAAAAGGAAAATGGAAAAATAAGCCATTTTAGGTACTCAAATATTTGTTTGGTTGATAAAAAAAAAATAAAATGATTTTAAATACTAATTTTAAAACAGGAGTCTCCAAGATTCTTCTTTCAGATACCATAAGCCAGAATATAAATGCTAAGAGCTGTGCGTGCGTGTGCGTGCGTGCCCAAAATCCCAGGGGAGACTGAAGAAGGGATTGGTCTGTGGCCAACACCCTAGGGGTGATTTCTCACTTTCTCTCTCTCTCTCCTGTGAGTGCAAGGTCCTATGCCAAAAATCTAAACAAAGAAACAAACCAACAACAAAAGAGCTGCTCTTGAAACAGTAGGAGGTTCCGCCATTTTCTTTCTCAATTCTGTATGATGTAAATGCTACTGTGCTTTGGCAAACTAGGGACCCGAGGCAGAGAAAGATTAAGTCATTAGCTCCAAATCATACAATTAGCATCTGGGAAAGGTTGAATTCAGACCAGACTGGCTAGACCCCAGAGCTAAGTCCTTAGCTGCCAGACAATAGGGCCTTCCTTCTGATTTTCCCACACAGCCACAAGGCCCTCAGTGCCTTGAGGCAGTTCACAATGACCACAACTTCCACTATGCAGATAACCCTTATACTGCGTAAAGGTCACCTGCAGTTTGTGAAGACTGTAGAGGGAGATAAGGTAACTTCTTAGCTTTTGAATAGTTTAGACTGGAGGGGGGGGACAACTCTTGACCAACTTACGTTTTTCCTTTTCAAATTTTTAAAAATTTGCTAGAGGACAGGGATGCTTGCCAGAGACTGACAGAGATAGAGGGAAAGTGAGAAAGCACGCCCCAGAGTGGATGGCCACACCACAATCATTTCACCTCCATGCTCCTCTCGGGATTTTGGGTATACACATGCACACATATATGGCTGGGCCTGTTCTATTTTGTATTCATGATAAAGCACATGTGCACACGTAAGGGGATGCTAGGGATGGAGAGAGAGAGGAGCACCCTCCACGGTGTCTGGTCATGCTTCAATCCCCTTTCTCCTGTCTTCCAGCCCAAGAGATCTTGGGCACTCACACGTGGCCAACCGCGCTGGGGATTCAAACTGTGGCTGCCACATGGGATCCAGCTTCCCCTGAGCAGCACATTACTGCTGCACCTCAGAGCCAGCATGACCACCCAGCATGATACTCTTTAGACTCAAATATGAGTTTTTCAACCATGAACTTTACAGTGTTTAAACTCAGATTTTGAAATACACGTCATCCTCTAATTCAGATTATCTTTAACACCAAGGAATTGAAACCAAAAATTTCCCAGTACCGACATATTCCATGTAAAGTGAGAGATACATCATTTTCAACATCTCGTTCTGTTTTTCGCTCATTGACTTGTTTCTCACTAAGACCACTTCTACGGGAAGCAGCCAGGAAAGAGTCCCTGGGAGAACATCTGATATTTAGCACCTCAAGCTCTGGAGAAGCACATGAGACCTGTGTTATTTAACTTCCTCCTTACAGCTGGCTGTGCGATCCTCCTACAAAGGAAGCCCGGAATAATCCATAGTCAGAAAGCCAGGGAGGAACAAAGTGTCCCAGAGAAGAGGACAGGAAAGAGGAAATGGGTGGTAGAAGAAAAATGAAAGAGACAGAGATGAGATGATGTCCTTACGGATTTCATAAACCACCAGCCTAAGCTGATCTTTGGCGTTTATGACGCTGGTTGGGGTTTGTTTGCAGAAGCACAGTGACAGAATAAAAAATGTGTACGTAGATTTGTACATCGAAACCTCTCCATTGGGGAGTCAGCGTGGAGTACCAAAGAGCCAGGAAATCAGAATTGGCACTCATTCTTCTGGATCACAGAGAAGAGACGTGTGATGAGCCATAACAGGACGACACCCGTGGCAGACAGGTAGGTAACAGGAGACCAGAGCTCAATGCCCTGAGCCACGTTCATTGTTCCCTTTCATCTGCGACCATGAACCCCACAACCTTGTGGTTATAATTAGGCTCCCCGTGTAATAGTTTTAGCCAAAGCCACCATCATCAGAGTGGTAGCAATATCATGACATCACAAATAATAATAGCAACAAAAAGAATGGAATTTTCCTTTTCTTTTTTGTTTTGTTTTGTTTTTGTTTTTGTTTTGTTTTTGCTATGGGACATGTGTACTCACTAGAGAGAAGAAGAGAGAGAGAAAATAAGAAATCACCCCCAGAAGGGATGGCAACACAGCAATCTCTTCTCTCTCAGTCTCCTCTTGGGGTTTTGAGCATGCACACATGCACGCATGCCTGGCGTGATTCTCAGGCAGCTGGGTCCAAGATTTGAACTGTGAAGTTGACCATGTGGGATCCAGCCATCTTAACCACCATGCCACCAGCTGGCACAAAAATTGAAATATTTATGACATGGAAAAAGACACCATTTTGACAGGCTTATTTTTAATATTTTGCAGTAAATTAATACATTTTAACTTTAAAGAAAAAATATTCTTTCTCCTTACTCATCACATAGTCAGTTTCTTAGTCTTCTTTGCCCTTGTCCGCATGGTCTCTCTCTCCCTCTCCCCCACCCTTCTCACTCTCCTCTCTCTCTCTCACACACACCCTCATCATGTCTTTTTCTCCATGTACTCAGGCCACGCTAGACTCTAAACTTACAAGCAGTGATCTTTTAACTTGTAAGATGGAATAAACAAGGATTCTGAAACTTAATCGAGTTCAAATTCGAAAATTTCCATAGCAAATTGTGTAACTGTAACTTCTCTGAGTTTGAGTTTCTTCAATCTAAATAGCTTTGGATAAAATATGGTGACACAGGGACAGGCACAGATTCCGTTACTTAAATGCAACAAACTTATTATTAAAAAGAAAAATGGGATTATTCTCTATATATGCTTGAAATGAAGACAGCCTTCCTTTTCTTAATTACCAAAGAGTTCACCATCAGCCCATCTGTACATCAACCAGGATTCCTAAATATTTTCTCCTTTCCTCTGGATCTTTTGGCAGTGTCAACAAAAAGCAAACATAGTGTATAAAACACATTTCGCGTTTGGGCCAGCAGGTGGCATGGTGGTTGGGGCACTGGATCCCAGATGGCTGACTCTGTGGTTCAGATTCCAGACCCAGCGGACTAACTCACACCAGGTGAGTGTGTTCACATGTGCCCCAAATCCCAAGAGGAGCATGGAGGAGAAAGGACTGCAACACGGCCATCCCCCCCAGGGGTGTGATTTCTCACTTTCTCGCTCTCTCTCTCCAGTAAGCACATGTGCCCTTCAGCAAAACTCTATTTAAAAAGCAAACCAAAACAAAAACATAGCTCTTGTGTTCAGGCATGCTGATAAAGATCCCCTAGAAGTGAAGGCTGAATTTAAGGGACAAAATGAGATTGAGGATAAAGTATAGATTTAAATGATTCAGGCCAATGCCAACCTCCATGACCACGAAGAATCAAAGGGTGAGCTAGTTAGCCATCATTTTTACAGTTAACTGGCAAGATAGCAGACTGCAAACATGGAGCCTGTCTCCCCATCCAGAGTGCAGCAATCAATAGCAGCCTCCCTCCTTCCTGCCCCCACCCACCACACACACGGCTAAGTGCTCTCTGCTTCCTTTACTACCTTCTCCATACTCAAAGGGCAATCTGATAACACACCCCTGAGGCCCACAGTGGAGGCCTCACATCTCCTGTGACCCCAAACCAGCTCTGTCTGCTCTAAAGCAATTGCACACAGCTAAGAAACAAAAACATTCTGAACCACAGTGGGTGATATCTGTGTGGCTGTCAAGATAACCAGAGAAAACAGGTAGCCGAAGACAGCAGAAAGGAAGGCATGCAAAGGGAAACGTCTGTGATAAAAAGGGGAAAAAGCAGACACAAAACCCTAATGTCAGCTTCTTAAGGATAAGGGATTTATCAGAAGTCTCTCCCTCTATGCTCTGAAATGTATATATGCACTTGTGTATTCATTTACTCACTCACTCGCAGTGCTAAGTAAGCACTCTGGGCTTTCAGGGTGTATACAAGTAGTTGCACTGCAGACTCAGTAAAGTAACACCACTTCATTGCCTGTTCTTCACATGTTGCTACACTTTGAATGCCGCCCTCAGACAACGTGTTGGGATGTGGTTGTACTGTAAAGGTGTAAATTAAAAACTTCATCTTGCCATGGTGTGCCAGGGTGGGGTCTTTGGGAGGGATAAGGTCATCAGGGAGGGGCCCCTAAGACAGAGCTCTGGTGGGTTTATAAGAAGGGAAAGGAGGCACCCACCATAGGCAGAAATCTACGGACAATGGCTCTGCTCAAGATCCTGCCCTCTGCCATGTTATAGTCTCACCAGATGTTGGCCCCCGGACCTGGGATGTCCACACATCCGCTGAGTAACCTCCACTCTACGGATCACCCAATTTCAGATATTTCTATTGGCAACTCAATAGCAGGCTAAGATGCATGTGTCACCGAACCAGGGAAAGCTCTTTTGGGGAACTGCATGCTCTCTGGGCCTGTCCTTTCTAGCTTGGCCTCCTGTTCTCTTGCTGTGTGAGCAAAAAGGACTAAGCTTGCAGGTGGAACTTTTTCTATAACCTGTCTCCTTCTCCCAAGTCCCCTACCCACCCCCAAAATACATAGAACAACTAGTAATAGGCACAGTCCTAACAGTTTATCCCTCCTTTAGACTGGAGACCATTGGCTTGCATGGTACTAGTGAATGAGCTCCCCGAGGAAAATGGCGGCCTATCCCTACCTGGTCTCTCAGCCTCTCCTGGTGGCCCATGATCGCTGTGGCATGATGTGGGTACTTCTGTTTTAGGTGTTCAAGGAAAGCTTCTCTCTTCCTATCCATCTCAGATGTCTGCATGCCCAGTATTTCTTTGGAACTTCGGGGCCCACCTACAGTGTGTCTCCGTGGGATATTGCGGGAAGACTTAGAGAGGGAAACACGCCCGTTTCCATTAGAAAGGCGTTCCTTGGTTCTGCGGCATTCTGCATCTTCTACCGCCGTGACATGCAGATTGCTTTTTCCTGGTTCTGAAAGACAGAAACAGCACAGGTCACAATGCATGATTTCACAGTAGAAAGCTCATTTACAGAACACCGAGAGGGTTCTGGTAACAGTTAAGGTATGAATGTAACTTAACAAATCTTTTTTTTTTTTTTTTCACCAAGAAGAGAACAAATCTACAATCACAAAAACTATGAGGGGGGCCTGACTTAAGCACTGCACACAGAAAGCGAGATTCCACACGACCAACCATGGTTTGAATCCTGGCCACGCCATGGCAGTGGCTTGAAATACATGTTCTGTGTGTGTGTGTGTGTGTGTGTGTGTGTGTGTGTGTGCCTTAAATCCTGACAGTATGGAGAAATCAGAGGTGGGGGGGGCGCGAGGAAACTGTAATATAATCATACCCTATTAGGGAGATGTGTTTTCTCTTTCTCTCCGTCTCTGCCTCTGACAGTACACATACCCACTGGCAATTGAAAATAAAAAAGAATGATGAGGGCTGACAGCAGTGGCACAGCAGGAACACGGCCATCTGCAATGCTGGGCACACATGGGAGGGTCCCAGGTACACATCTGGCTTTTCCCTGTACATGTTGGATATGTGAGTGCTCATGGTCCAGGCTGGCTAGGGCTGGGCTGGATCATGGTGGGAAGGCCCTGTCGGGAGTGCCTGTCTCTCTTTCTCTCATGGAAGAAATAAAAACAAAACAAACTTTTCTCGTTTTCTTTTTCTTTTTCATGTTTTGCTAGAGGGTACACGTGTTCCTCAGAGAAAGACAGAGAGGGTGAGGAGAAAGCACTCCCCCATGGGAGATGGTCATGCCTCAATCTCTTCTGCTCCATCTCTCCCTCCTTTTGGGATTTTGGGCAGGTATGCATACATGCTCCACAGCATTTTTTACGCTGTTGGCTCAGAGACTCAAACTGTAGTCAGCCATGTGGGATCCAGCTGCCTTATCCACCAGCCCACAGAGCCAGCCTAATTTTTTTGTTTTTTACAAAATAAATTTTTAAAAAATCTTAATTTTAAGACTTATTGTATTTAACTTTATTTATCCATTTATTTATTTATTTATTTATTTTAATTTGACCAGAAAGAGACAGAGAGAGAGTGTGTGTGTGAGAGAAAGCCACCGGGTCTCGAACTGCAGTCAATCATGTGGGAGTCCAGTGCCCTTAACCACCACGCCACCTGATGGCCCCATTTTTTGTTGTTGTTTTACAAGATGAAAAAAGTTAAGGTATTACAGTAAAAACTCTGCTCGTCTGTCTTTTCCTGAAGTTATTCAAAACATGAACACTTCATCAGACCTGTCAAGAGGCAATTGGCTTACCTTGTAATCTCATCTATAATTATAGAAAAATGATTGAGTGCAATGATTCTGATTTTTGAATTTTTCATCACCAAGAACTAAATAGTGATCACCCTACACAGAGGTTGAATAATCACTGACACAAGGGAACCTTTATAAAAAGTCTTTTTCGGGAACCAGCAGTTAGCGTAATGGCTATGTCGCTGGACTCCCACGTAGTCAACCGCGGTTCGCGTCCTGGACCCAGTGGCTTAAAACTCACGCCGGGCGCGTGTGCGTGCGTGCCCAAGATCCCGAGAGGAGAATGGAGGAGAAGGGATTGTGGCGTGACCATCCCCCCTGGGGGGTGATTTCTCGCTTTCTGTCTCTATGTCTCTCTCTGTCTGTCTGGCGAGCGCACGTGCCCTACAGTGAAAATCTCTCCAAAAAAAAAAAAAAAAAGTCTTTTTCCCCTTGTTGGCAGAAGCCAGACAAACAGCAGAATATCATTAGAGGTATGGGCCGGCCCTGTAGCCTGGTAATTAAGTGAGCTGGATCCCACCTGATTGACTGCAGTTTGAATCCCAGCCCTGCTGGCTTGAGAAACATGCCAGCTGCATGTATGTGAGTGCTCCAAATCCTGACAGGAGAGAAACAGAGAAGGGACCGCAGCACGGCTATGCACCATGGTTTCGGTGTGTATGTTTTCTTGCTTCTCTCTTCTTCTCTCTGGTGAATGCAAGTACCCCCTTGCTATTAAAAACAAACAAACAAACAAAAAAGAATACTGGGACCAGCAGATGGCATAATGGATATATCATTGGGCTCCCATGCAGTCAACCACAATTCAAGTCCCAGCCTTGGCCTTAAAATTCACACTGGGTGCGTGTGCGTGCATGCCCCAAATCCCGAGAAGAGACTGGAGGAGAAAGGGTTGTGGCATGGCCATCCCCCCTGGGGCATAATTTCTCATTTTCTGTCTGTCTCTCTGGCAAGCGCACACACACATCCTATAGCAAAATTAAAAAAAAAAAATCTCTCTAAAAAAAAGGAGAGTATATCATTAGAGGTAATAATTGCAGGGATGTTAAGTAAAGGCTTAGCTACATTTTACTTGTAGAGGACTTCACCTGAAACACACAGGGAAAGAAAAGAGCCATGTGATTTGGAAAGCTTTGACCTAGACATGCTGCCTCAGGGCTGGTCTTTAAGGGACAGCTGATTTCCACCGAAAGCAGATCAAGTAGGGCATGAACTGCCACCGCTCAGAGTGCAGGGCGTGTACAGGGAGTCTCCACTCATTCTCAATGGTTGGGAAATGGGGTATCAGGATTAAATATTCCTGTTAACTGAGGCGGGGGGGGAGAGTTCTTTATAAAAGCAGATGAAAGAGAGAAGGTGAAGAACTTTCAGAAGCATTTGAGAAGCTGGACAGGGTCCTTCCTAGAGCCAGGCTCTCCTCAGGAAGGGCAGTTCTGGTCGTGCAGGATTATAGATGCAGGCAGAGGAACACGTGCTGTCCACTGAATTACGAGGAAAAGTGCTCGTGGGATCTCCAAAATCCTGGCTTTAATCCTAGACTTAGAACAGATCATTTCAGGACCAGCAGTTGGCGTAATGACTATGTCGCAGGACTCCCATGTAGTCAACTGCGGTTCGAGTCCTGGACCCCGTGGCTTAAACTCATGCTGGGTGCATGTGTGTGCGTGCCCAAGATCCTGAGAGTAGAATGGAGAGAAGAATTGAGCATGGCCATTCCCCTAGGGGGTGATTTCTCACTTTCTGCCTCTTTGTCTCTCTCTTTCTGGTGAGTGTATGCACCCTATAGCAAAAACTTCCCCCTCATCCACCCCCCCAAAAAAAAGAACGGATCATTTGACCTCTCTCAGGCCCATTTTCTTCATTAATAAAATGAAGATGGTTGATCTAGCAGCAGATATGCAGAGCCTTCAACCTCAAAATCCTTTAAATCTGTCCTAAATTTTTTTAAAAGTGTTTCCAATAACAGTAAAACACTGTTACTGGAAACAATTACTTCCAATATTAATAATTTATTTTTGTAAGATAAGTGCAGAAAAATAGACTATCTGAGAATTCTGCTCATATGAAACTCATAGAATGCACAAACCAAACCGTCCCACCAGTGCAGTAAAACAACTGCACTAGCCCAGAGATTAGGAATAAACTAGTTTTCTAGAAGCAATGCCACCAACACTTTCCTTCTTTACCTAGAAATATCTATGTCAGAACATGAGGTACAGATGTCTTTCAGTGAGGCACAGAATGTTTTTTTTTTTGGAGAGGTTTTTGCTGTAGGGCGCGTGAGCTTGCCAGCCAGACAGAGAGAGACAGAGAGACAGAAAGCGAGAAATCACCCCCCAGGAGGGATGGCTACGCCTCAATCCCTTCTCCTCCATTCTCCTCTCGGGATCTTGGGCACGCACGCACGCACACGCGCCCGGCGTGAGTTTAAGCCACCGAGCTTGGGACTCAAACTGTGGTCGACTATGTGGGAGTCCAGTGACATAGCCATTATGCTAACTGCTGGTCCCAGGCACAGAATATTTTTTAATTCTAGCTGGTTTTCCTTTTCTAGATTTCCAACCCTTGATGTACGTTCTGGAAATAATTTGTCTTGTTTACCTTTCATTTCTCATTTCATTGCTAATGACAACATCTCTCTGAGACACGGATAAAGAGAGGGAGGAAAAACACAACCAAATGAGTTCATGCTTCTGCTTTTCATTCGTTTCAGCAGCAAGTTTAGAAAGGGAAGAAGATGGAACTCTTGGTGAAAACATATGGGGGGTCATCCTTCTACTACTCAGACTCTATCATGATGACATTAATAGTCTCTTCCTTAATAATATAGAAGTAATGGGACTCACTGAATAAAACTAGATGCAGAAAATGCCAGTTCTCATCCATGTATGCAGCCTGAAGAGATTTAGCTTTACCTTTTGCGTGCGTGGTACACATTTTTGCACGTTTCATGTTAACTGAAATTGTTATACACTTGCTATAACGTGGTTGATGTTTTCCTTTTATTTTATTTTAGATTTTTGCCATAGAGCATGAGCACTCGCTGAAGAGTAACAGGAAAAAGTGAGAAATCACCTTCTGGTGGCATGTTCACATTGCAATCCCTCTTCCTCCATTCTCTTCCCCAGACTTTGGGTATATGCATGTGCACGCACATGTGCCCAGCATGTTTTCAAACTGCCAGGTCTAGGACTTGAACCATATAGTTGGCCATGTGGGATCAGATGCTTTAACTTCCATGCCACCTCCTGACCCCCAGTTTTTTTTTTTTTCTTTCTTTCTTTTAATTTACCAGAGGGCATATGTGCTTGCCAGAGAAAGAGAGGCAAAGAGGGAGAATGCAGCCTACAATGGGTGTGGTCACTCCAAATCCTTCCTCCATCCATTTGTAACTTGGGACATGCGCACATATACATCTCTCATATGTGTCTCTATCTCTTTTTTTCTTTTATTATTCTTTGCCATAGGGTGCATGTGCTTGTTGGAGACAGAGAAAGGGAAAGTGAGAAGTCATTCCCCAGAGGGATGGCCACCCCACAGTCCCTTTTCTTCCATTCTCCTCTTGGGATTTTGGACAAACATGCTCACATGCACAGCGTAATTCTCAAGCCACCGGGTTTGGGGATTAATCCGCGGTTGGCCGTGTTGGATTTCCAGTGCCTTAACTACCACACCATGTGTTATCCCTT